CACAAGTACATGTATGTTGTGGACTCATCGTCATGTGCAGTCCCCTTCACACACACAGAGGGCAGTCTTCTTGCATTTGCAAGAAACCAGCTTCAATGCTGCTGTGAGCTGCCTCGGGTAGCCTGGTCCAGTATGGTGAGTACTGTCCTCCAGTCATTGACCAACCCTAGTTGTTTTGTGGAGGGAGCTCTAGTGCTGGCAAAAGTACCTGACCCCACACATTTCCACCTCAATACACTCCCCTCTTGACATGTTCCTCTAAAGCTGCCTTCGTAGGAGGGATCAGCTGCACATCGTTCTTCCTTGCGAAGAGTTTCCTCCTGGCCGTGTCATAGTACGTGCATTTGCTGGTTCGATCATACAACAGGATCACGAACCTCTTGATGCTGGACATTGCATCGTTTGGTAAGTCACGTAGTGCAGAGGACACCAGCAGCAGCGCCTGAGTGAGTTCTGGCAGTACCGTTCAGACTGCCCACGTAGTCTTCTTGCCATATGGGATGAAGATCTTAGGAGCATACTCTTCAAATGTCTTTAATTTAATGCAGCCAATCTGGGCGATGGCTGCTCCATCAAAAACTATACAGCTAGGGACAGGAGTCTCTGTCTTGGCGTCGAAGATTTCTTCAAAGCCTGTGATGAGATCATTCTAAGTACAAGTGAAGACAGCAGACAGTGCAGGAGGACATGCCTGGTTCTTGTGACGAAAGAACTCCTTAATGTTTCCATCCCTCATCTGCCAGCCAATGTGCAGGCGGGCAACGAGTTCACGGTCATTTCTGACAGAGGCGAACTGTTCCTAACATTTACTCTTGTTTCTTGGAGTGGAAGTGCTGAATACCTCCAGTTTTGTCACGAGAAACGGGGTCGTCCACTGCCTTTGTTCTGTCCAACAGACAGTCTCTGGTGAAAGACTCGGGCTGCTCTTGTCCAATCCTCTTGGCTTTCATCACGGTCTCCATGGCAGAAGGACCTGCGATGTCCTTTGTGTCCAGTATGCTTAGATCCTGACTCTCCTCCTCGATTGGGTTGTCTATCTCCTTTATGATACCGACAAGACAGCGAACATCTTTCACGAATGAGGCATGTGCACTTGGCGTCTGATCATGATGACGTGTGTCTGCTGCTTGCTTGCTGTCTCCTGTATTGGTTCTCGTCCTGGAATTCTTCGATCACCCTAGCAATTTCTGGTCTTGAAACCATCCGGCGACGAAGGGCACTAGGATTGTCAGTTAGCCCAACCGCGCCACCGTTTCCTTTGATGCAGGCATTATTCTGCTCATGTGCCTGGCCAATCGGGATTAAAGAGAACACCCTCTGCGTTTTCTCAACTGTGAAATGGCCTTCGTTGAATTTCCTGGCTACGTCTGGATGTTTCGTAGTGAGTTCGGAGATGTTCTTCAGGTGCACCGGTATCCACCTAGTATAGTGGGTATGATCTAGTGCGTGGAACCAGGTGGCCAGCTCTGTCAGAGCATCGAGGCACATCATCAATGATCCCTGCTTGAGAGAACGCACATACACTAGAACCACAGTTCTTGTTCCAGCAGCGAAACTGGGAGATGTTGTCTCGTCTCTGGCGTCACCAGTCTTCAAACGCAGGAATGTCCTCTGCATCCCTGGTTTCTCCCAGACAGTAGTGGTAGTAGGCATGGTGTTGCGAGATGTACAGTGCTGCTGCAGTCACTTGATGTGCTCTTCTTGTGCGCAAGACTTGAGATGCTCGCAGGAATGAGTCTGCTGTCCTTGCTGT